ATAAATCTTTTTTAAAAAAGTCACATGCTCTTTCCAACTGAGCCAGCCAGGCACACCTATAATTCTTTTCTAATTGTTACACATATTCCTGTACATATTCAGCTATTTAATAGACTCTTCAAGGACAATAACCAAGTCCCTTTCTTTTCTATTGGCTATAATCATGTTTCCAAAGTTGGAGTTCAATAAACGCTTGCTTAATGAATCTATTGTAAAACCATCAGAAAGAGAGGCATGAAGACTACATACACAACACAAAACACACTGCACACAAAGCAAAAATTATATAACATATTAAGTTAAATAAGCATTTATTTTTCAGAATACATAATCTATTTATTAGCATAGTGTGTAGTTTAATAATACCTTTATTATATAGACAGACTGCATTACAATGGAAATAACACTGGAATAGTGAGTGCTAGAGTAAAAAAACCTAGGCTCTGACCCCCACTCTGCCATACACTAGCCATTTAAATTTGGGCAAATCACTTAACCTCTCACAACAATGAGTAATTACTATGTACTGTGTCAAACTCACAGGGTTATTATTAGGATACAATAGCATAATATACATGAAAGTGCTTAAAAATTTATAAAGAGCTGTAATACTTTAATGATGAACATACCCTCCAATTTAAGATAACATTTTATTTTAAAATGTGAACTTACAAAAGAAAGAAATTAAGGGGCAACGATTTATACTGTAGAAGAATTCATCACTAAATAAAATAAATCACTGTGAGGTCCAGCAACTCAAATTCAATCTAGAGCAATTAAAATATGAGTCAACTGTCAAAAATGTGCTTCACATTCGATTTTTTAGGGAGAAATTTATTACACAAAGCAAGGTAGATATTTGAATCAGTCCAAAAAATCACAATCACAAGTTCATTCCATTGAATGTACTAAAAGGGCCTTCACCTCACGACATAATCAGATGCTGCAAAGTTTATCTGGCTCCATTTTACAACCTGATAAAATGCACCATGCCCCACAGTTGAAGGGGTGAACCAGCACATGTAGGAAATACTAGAGTTGACTCCAGGTTTACAGGAAAACATGTGATTAACCAGGACACAGCACCATCTGATGCATGTAAGAATTCCTAAATCTGTTTCACAGACCTATTGTTTATGGAATAAAGAGGTATGAAGAAGCAGAGGGAGCAGCTGCAAGTAGGCTGAGACTTATTTGTAGCGTTGGTGACAAAGTCAAATATGAAAGTTTCAGGATCTGTTTGAGTGGCTATTAGAATCATTTTCAAGCTCTCTCAGGTCAACAAATTATCACAGTATCCAGACAGACTAAAATGTTCTAGGCAATTTCCCTTTGCCCTGCCAAGTCTACCTATAGACCATCTAAGACAAGACATTACAACAAGAGTCAGCTACTTTCCTGACATGGATCACGAACTTTCTCATCCCTGTTCTTATGTCTTTATATAGAGGATTTTAATCAAGAAGAATCTGGAAGGCAGATATATTCAAAAAGGTCATGAGCACAAACCACCAATTGAAGATTCAAATAAATTAGCAAACTCTCCCTTTTAAATATTAATCTCCTGAAAAGGCTGCCATAATTAGCTTCAAGCTACATCCCAGCAAAAGAAGGGGAGTGAGCTGAAGAGGGGAAAAGAAACGAGGAGAGCAGGAGGGCACAGGCAGGTGAAGATCACACACCAGAAATGCAAAAAAAGGTAAAAAGACACCAAAGACAAACTTCACCAACAGCTACCAACCATCCATCTTCCCTCAGAGCAAGACTATTAATAGAGAAAACAAGATTTTGCTGCTACATGTTTTGGGGGCACTATTTTCTTAATGCCAAGTTATCCAACAGTATCAAATGTAAACCAGGGTTATGCATGGTAACTGAAGAAACTATAGCTTCCTGGCAATTTGCTATTCACTATAGACATGATCTAATGAAAAAAAGTCTCTGCTTCACCAAGTCTGTTAAAAAGAATATTGAACTAGATCTTGAATACATAGTTCCTAGTTTTGGTTTTGACCCTCTTGACAAGTGACTTTAGTCACTAAATTTTTATCAATGTTCGCATTCACCTAAACAGTACTTCTTGAGTACCTAAAAAATGAACTATTTTAGAGTTTCTCAGCCCTGCCTGCATATTAGAATCACCTGGGAAGACTTTCTTAAAAAAAGATTCTCTTGGCCCCTGAGATTCTGATTTAATTGGTCTGGGGTAGGGCCCAGGCAGACGTTTTTAAAAAACACTCCCTTGCGATTTTAACGTGCAGCCCAGGTGAAGAACCCCAGGTCTGTTTTGTCTTATGTATATGTGAGGAACAGCAAAATAACGCAAAAAGCCCTCCCTGCTTCCTTTCAAATCTATCAATTTTCCCTTCTTATCCAATTTAGTTTTACCCCAGATTCTCACCACCTCACACCTAGATTAACAGAATACCTTCCTACCTATTTTCCCTTCCACCAGTCTCTTCCCAACCCAATAAAACATTATATGCTTGCCTAACTCATCAGTTTGGTTCTGAAACATTATCCCACTGAGAGTCATTTTAAGTATAACAATACCAACAAACAGAACTGGTTTCATCAGAGGATACCGTATGTTTACAGATGTGTATGTATGTGTGTGTACGCATATGTATGTATTATCTGAAACATGCTCTATTTTTCTTCAGTTCCAGTGTACCCACCTTCATTTATACATAATGAATACTAGTCTCTTTACATACAAAAATATTGCCCCTAAATTGTTCACGACTGAATTTTGTCAAAAATGAATGGCAAATGAATCACTCACGAATATGTCATTTAAATTTTGAACTGTTTCCACAAGGAAACACACATTCAACTAAAAAAAAAAAGTAAAATGAGGTGGAATCGTCTCAAAAATCCTGTGTTACTGTAGACACTGATAAAGTTTATGACGAAAGAATGCTTAACAAGAATATGGCTCTGCTTTGTGTTAAAGCTTGCCTCAGAAAAAACAAAACAAACAAAACTGAAGGCTTAAAAGCCGTAGGTTATAACCATATAAGATGATATTCAAGTTTATGAAAAATATTATCAAGTACAATATAAGCAATATATAATGAGAAGACTGAACAACTATATGACTTATTCCCTGCCCTTAAGGAGCTCTCCAGCTTCTCAGGGCCAGCATGACACAAACATAAAAAAGAAAATAAAGCCAGCCCTATCAAGTAAGTGGTAAAGGTAGTAAAGTACCGTTAAGAACTCAAAAACAGGAGACTGCTACGGACTAAGGGAGTTAGAGATAGCTTCCTGGAAAAGCTGGGGCTTGAACAAAATTAAATAGATGGAGTAAAGAGAAAAATCCCAAGCATGTGGGTGACCTTCTACAAAGATGAGGCAGAAATTCATTATATATATTTGAGGGACAGGGAGTTAACCTAGTTGGAACAGAGGGTTCTATGTAGGAGTGTTTGGGGTGGTAAGGTTGCAATAATAAACTGGAGCTGTACAGTGAAAGCCCTGAATGCCAGGCCAGGATGCTCAAACTTAGTCCTACAGATATATCCTTTACAGGTTATAAAGCACAATAAGCAAAACAACATATGCTCATAATGATGCAGTATGAAACCATTTTTCCTGAAGCCTTTAAAGAACATACCAAGTCCTATAATATTTTGCCAATATATTCATAAATATGTGAACATATTGTTTAGGAAATCTGTTCAGAGTGAAGGAGTAAAATACTCGAACATGCTTTCCAAAATACAACGTCAGTGATCGATTACGCATTCATAGTTCTTAGGATAATTCCTAAGAGAATAATTGAGTGGAAGGCTTCAATTTTTAGGCTTTCCTCCTCTCCCCACCCTCCTCCCAACACATACCTAAATTTAATATCCAGAAACTGAATGCACTGAAATAGTGTTATTCTGACAATAAGAGGCCTTTATTACTTCTCATTATAGGTGATTCTACTTACTGTACTGTTCCAAAATTACTACACCTATCAAAATAATTTTGTCCATGATTTCTTTCAGCAAAGCAAATATAAAAGATAACAAATGCAAAGATTATGAAAAGCAAAAAACCCTTTCATCAAATGAAAACGTATTTAAAATAATCCGCACTGGTTTATAAGGCAGAGGGGAAAGAGAGTATGTTCATAACAAAAAATGCCATCCACAACAAAGAGTACCAGAGAGTATAGGAAGAACGCTACAATAGCCAATTTCTCAACCAAAATGATAAGCCATTAGCCCACAACTCCCTAAAGAATAGAGTTAATTCTGTTTCTCAAAAATGCCTTCAAATTTTTTGGCTATTTCTGCTATAAAAATTAGGACTCTAACATAACTCAAAACAAGGATCCTTTCCTCTAGTATACCAGACATGTTAGTGATTGATTGATTTCATTTGCCACAGCAACAAATACTAATTTAACCACCACTACCTTCTCAACACCAGGAAGATGAAAAATCTGTCTTTAAACGCATACGTGACCAGAAGGCAAGAATATTCTGGGATGATTAAAACACACACACAAAATAACACATAAAAACCGTGGCAATGCTGCGGCTGCACGATGAAAAGGAATATGCCTTTCCTCCAGGCATGTATGCCTTTAAAGAATATGTGTAGATTGTAATTTTACGTATTGTCTTCCCCCCCCCACCCCCCCTCCGAGAAAGATGAGAACATCCAGGAGAGTTGGAAGAAGTGCATTAAGGACGGTGTCAGTACCTCCCTCCCTACTCCTTACTGGGGAAACTCGCTTTAACAATACTGCTCACCCCTCACATCCCGCCCGGTTTCCATACATCTTTCAGTCAACAACCCTCCCCCCCCCCACTCCCACCACCACCATTCCCTTCTCTCCCCCTCACATTCACGAGACAAGGCTGCTCCGACTTTGTCGGTCTCGCCGCCCCCGCGAACCCGCCCAGACCAGCAGTCCAACAACGCAGCCACGCAGCCACCCACACCCCCCACCTCCTCCTTCGGAGCCCAGCTTCCCCTCCCCCCCCGCCCCGTCCTGTCACCTGCTTGGGTGGTGTCCGTCAGGTCGTAGCCGCTGCCGGGGAAGTCTCGGAGTTTCCTGCCACTGAGGCTCAGGATGCCGGAGTTGCCCGCCTCCTCCAGGGCCCGGTCCAGGCTCCTCACCGTGTGTTGAGGCTGCAGGCTCCCCGGGTTCCACTGCGGCCCGTTGGGGAACGGCTGACCGAAAAGAGTCGGTACCGGGATGGGCACCACCAGGGTCCCGCCGCCGCCGCCGCCTCCCCCTCCGGCTCCGCCACCTCCCCCTCCGGCTGCGCTACCGCCACCGCTACTTCCACCTCCACCACAACCGCCGCCCCCACTGTTAACACCACCTCCCTGACTCGCCGCCATGTTCCTGGGAGAGAGAATAGCCCCCGACAATACTCTCAGCTTGTGCCGCGAGTGTAGGGGGTTCTTAGGACGCATGCGCAGATTGGGGGCGGAGGGGGGGGCGAGGTAGAGGGTGGGAAGGAACCAGGGGGCGGGCTGGGAGGAGGTGTTGGGTAGAGAAGAGACGGTGTTCCAACGTGCAGAACGGTCACTTTAAGAAATGTGTGATCGGAGGAAGGATGCTAAGTCTCGGTTCCGCTGCTTTGGGTACCAAAATCTTGCGAAGCGACACCAGCTTAACTACAGGGCATTTAGCGGTCTGTCCCCAGATCTGTAAATTGCTTCACCTTTCTCGCTCTGCAAAACAAAGGCAAATATATTAGGTAGGGGTGAAAGGGATTCGTTTCAGAATATATTGAAACGGCATTTAGAAGGACTATCAGCCACCTTATTGAAACGCTTACCGCAAATGTCTCAGGAATTGTTTACCAGTGTTGACACGGAGAGAAACGGTGGAGGGTTATTTGGGGAGGGAAACTGGTGCAAAATTGAGTTTTAAGCATATATGAATTTTGCCATAATTTAGAATTCCAAAATAGGAAAATCCTTTTTAAATGTTTTCAAGGAAGCCTCTCGTTTCAGTATGTGTGGGTCTCAGCCAAACTGCTGCCTTCCAAAACTTGGAAAAGTTCTCTGCATTCTGTTCTAGCACTCTTTGAAGTTGTGCCAAGATCTCCAAAATATCTCAGGTTTCTTCTCATCATGTCAGTATGGCTGATGGAAAACTCTTTGATCATTACGCAACCTTAAAGTTTATTTTCGAAATAAAGGTTTTGGTTTTAGGTGGAACTCTGTAAGTTTAACACTGGGGGTAATAAACTAATCAATCTTCTACTTTAGGAGGTCATTTTTAGAACCTGAACCCAACCATTCAGGCCACTGTTAACCCTTCTACCCCCATTCAGAATACTCAAAACTTTTTCACTGATACTAAAGTGACCCCCCCCAAAAAAAGAAAAAAAAACATCAGAATATTTGGGCATATTCAATCATCATCAATTTGAATATCCAATGCATCTCTTTTACATCCATTTCAATTTGAGCAATCTGCCAACAATCTCATTTTCTTAGAGAAATCACAAAAGTTAATTTGCCATTGGCTCTACTTTGGGGAAGAATGCAAGAAAAAAAAATTGTGGCTATCCCTACAGGTTAATTAAAATGATTATGTTGCAAGAAATTACATTTGCCATATGCATGACCCACAGAAGGAACAGAACTGAGAATCAGACTCTACAATGAATTAGCTAGTGAAATCGAAGTATTTAAACCAATTGGTGGGGCACCTGGGTGGCTCAGTCGTTGGGCATCTGCCTTTGGCTCAGGTCCTGATCCCAGGGTCCTGGGATGGAGTCCCACATCGGGCTCCCTGCTCCGCAGGAAGCCTGCTTCTCCCTCTCCCACTCCCCCTGCTTGTGTTCCTGCTCTCGCTTGCTCTCTCTCTCTGTCAAATAAATAAATAAAATCTTTAAAAAATATATAAAAAAATAAAATAAAAATAAATAAACCCACTGGTGTCAGAAAGAAATGCTGTACCTTATATCTCATCTTTATATCACAAATCAAATCTCAAAGTATTGATATTAAATAAAATTAATTAAATAAAATAAAATCTCAAAGTATTGAGATGGAATAAAATTCTCAAAGTATTAATTGAGAACTTCCAGAATCAAGAAGGGGAGAGGAGAAACTAAATTCATTAGTTAGAGAAAAGATTAAGAAAGGAACTATTTTAATAATAATTAGCCAATAAGAATTTTGGCATTATTTAAAACAATGTATTAGACTCCAGGAAAAATATGCCCTCAGGATACCTGTCAAGTAAAAAAGGCCATGTACAACCAAATTTAAGAGTAATCTTTCAAAGAATTAAAAGATAATCTAAGTACAAAAAACAGGAAGCCTGCACAGTAGGTTAGGTATACGTGAAAATCAGACAAAATAACACATTCTAGAGCTCTTTCACAAGAACACCAAGGTCATAGGAGTATTAAAAGATAAACTGAGGTATATTTTAAAAATTTAAGAACTGATTTGAGCATTTATCAATTTAAATTAGGCAATGCCAAACCAGAAGTGGCCAGGAGTGCTCTGCCAACAGGAACCAGGGAAAAGGCAAGTAGAAAAAATGGGGAAGCAAAGAAAGGAAATTATCTGATTGGCTATAACTTAAAGCTAGTTGGCTGTTTGTGATTGGTTGTCCTTAGCATTTTGATTTCATAACCTTGAGATATTTATAGGCTTAGGTTTTGGTATGCTTAAGTAAGTTGCCTTAGCAATAGAGCCGCCTCAGTCTAATGGTCCCCTTGTTTTGTTAATTTAACAGGAGGTAAAAAGTTTAGAAGAGTATGAAATTGAGAAATTTGTTCCAACCACCTGACTGTAATACTCAAAAAAGTGTCTTAAATCTCTGTGTGTCGGTTTCCTCGTAAGTAACACTAGAAAATAACAAGAAGAAGAAGAAGAAGATTTAAAATAGTGCTTACTAAAAAAATAAAATAAAATAGTGTTTACTGTTTACCAGGGACTGTTGTAATTGCTTTGCATATACTAAGTCATTCAATCCTCATAACAACCCTGTAAAATAAGTACTATTATTCTTCCATTTTATAGATGAGGAAAAATAGTATATAGTTCACATAGGATTGTTCTAAGAATAAATAAGATCACATATGAGCTATTACTTTGTGCCAAGAAACTATTCTCTGCAAGGAATTGTATAGCATTAGGTACTCAATAAATGTTAATCTCTTTATTATACCCTTGCCCCTCTCATAAAAGAAAACTAAATAATAAGAAATATACAAATAGAGGAAGAAGTCAAGGGAAAAATCAGTTAATTTCTTGATAATTGTGCACAAAAAGAGATTTGACATATTGCATGAATTTTTTTGCATCAGTCTACACTAGAGAATATTTTACAGTGATTATCACTTCGATGTTATTTCTGATCTGGATATGTTGGTAATTGGTTAAATTACAGTCAATACTCAGCATTATCCAAGCCAAACTTAGAAAACGAATGTTGATAAATCACCAAGACTACATGACATATATCAAAGATTACAGAAGGAAAACAAGGGGTTTTGAACAAAACATGCACCCTCTATTAAATAAAGTGCTGGCAAATGACAAAGGTTATTTGTATTCAAAAGAACTCTAAAGGGGACTTTTGAAATTCCAGGCCAGTTTATAATCACGGCTATCCCAAGCAAATAGTTAGATACCCAACATCTCTAAATAACATAAAGGAGGAAAAGCACAGTCCAAAACTCCAAATTCTTCTATTAGGAGAGCAAGATTATTGGAATAGACTACACGATGTTCTTACCAGTCTGTAAATAAATCAAAAGTGAGATATGTTTTATCTCAGGCTCTAGAGCAAGTCAACGAACCAGGGGAATAAATAGATCAAACTATAGTGTGAACTTTTTTTTTTCCGTCCTGGTTAGAATCCAGGAAAGAGCCATGGGAGTCTCTGCAGTTTGTTCCCTTAAAACATCAGCTCAATTAAATGCTAAATTCAGGGAGGGGGGTGGCTGGCTGTCTGGTTCAGTCCATAGAGCATGCTACTCTTGATCTCAGGGTCGTGAGTTCAAGCCCGTGTTGGGCATAGAGCTTACTTAAAATAAATAAATAAATTCAGGTGGGTGGGGGGGCGCCTGGGTGGCTCAGTGGGTTGGGTGTCTGTCTTCGGCTCAGGTCATGATCCCAGGGTCCTGGGATCAAGCCCCTCATCAGGCTCCCTGCTCAGCCAGGAGCCTGCTTCTCCCTCTCTCGCTCCCCCTGCTTGTGTTCCCTCTCTAGCTGTCTCTCTCTCTGTGTCAAATAAATAAATAAAATCTTAAAAAAAAAAATTTAGGGGGAAAAATAAGAAATGGTGGGTATATCAAAATATATATCAGAAACCCTAAAAAAACTATTTTTTAAATCAACAAGGATATATATATATTTTTAAAGATTTTATTTTTAAGTAATCTCTATACCTAATGTGGGGCTCGAACTTATAGCCCCAAGATCAAGAGTCACGTGCTCTACTGACTAAGCCAGCCAGGTGCCCCTGCAAAAGCTATTAATATACCCCATGCTGAACTATTTCACAGCTGTTGCTAGAATGAGATGTGCAGTTCTGCTCACTCCAATCTCAACACAACTCCTGAATTAGAGAAAACCCTGAGAAGTACACCTAAAATGATTAAAGAAACTCACTTGGCCTTCCTCTCTCTAGTAACTTGATCTTCAGTCCCTTCCAAAATCCCTGTTCTGGTATGGGACCTTCAGCGGACTATACATTAACTTATTTTATCATAATTTATAGCACACTATTGACAACATCCCTGATCCTCCTATGCCTGTCTGTCTTCGCTTCTACCCTTGCAGATAAACCCCTTGCATTGCTTTAACCAGTCTTAACAAACTCACTAATCGCCAAGTTAATATTTATTAACTCAGAAGAAATTATCACCGATGTATCAACTGTATCAACGATCACTGTTACTTAAAAGAAGCTATTACGTACCTAGTTTTCAGTGCTGACATCAGCAAGCACTATTACAGTCTATCTTGGTTAGAATCCCTGCTATGACACTTACAAGATATGAGATAGGCAAGTCTTACCTCTCAAAGTTTCGATTCCTCATCTATAGATCAGAAATCATAACACTATTAGCTATTTCATAGGATTGTACTGAGGATTACATGAGATAATTATATAAAACACCTACCATATTATAAAGGTTACTATTATCTCTTTTCTAGGTTCACTTTGTCAATAGAACACTGAGCTGAGTGAACCATGAATTATCAGCGTGGCACTTCTTAAATTCTTTTGTATTACTGTGCCACTTCTTAAATTCTTTTGTATTACTGTGCCAACATTTTCCTCTGTGTTGCTGTTGAGGTTCCATCCTTGTTAACTCCTCCCACACGTCCGCCTCTCCTAACTTTTGTGTTATCACTATGAGCCCATCACCTGA